TACGACAAGCTGAGTAGAGCTCTGCGCTACTACTACGATAAAGTACGCACATTGTTGATGTTGTTGACGAAGCACAAATCAGAACGTCAAAGAGGACGTTAGTGACCACAGGTCTCCTTTTTTTCCACTTTGCAGAACATCATCAAGAAGGTGATTGGCCAAAAGTTTGTCTACAAGTTTGTTTCTTTCCCTGAGATTCTGAAGATGGATCCTGCAGGGGTGGAGTCAGGCCGCGGTGGCGAGGAGGTCGGTGGGGCGGCGTCAGAGCCTGAAGTCGAAGAGGAGGATCGGGGCGAAGGAAAGCAGTATCTCTACTCCAACTTCTACACTTCTTTTAGCACCAGCTCCCCGCAACACGCTTTAGAGCATCACCGGCCAATCAAGAAGGAGCCTAGATGCGAAGAAAGCTCGTCCGTCATCCGGTTCGTGACCAACAGCGGCCACTCGTCCCTTCCGCCAACCCCGCCGCCATCCACGACGGACAGCCCCAAGCCCTCCATGTTGTCTCCTCGAATGGCTGGCTCTTCATCTCCGTCCCAGAGCCCCACCCACATACGGGTGAGAGGGCAGAGCCTCAGCACAGATACTGATGATGGTGAATGTAACGCTCAACCTTTAAACCTATCGTCTGGTCAGAGGGAAAGAGAGAAATTACGGAGCACGCCAACACCAGAGAGGAGGGGGTTGGCCAACAGTAACCCTTTAAAAGGCAGAAAACCCAAAGGCTTGGAAATCTCTGCCCCCCCTCTTCTCCTGACAGGAAGTGACCTCGTCTCCATTGCCCTGAACAGCCCGGCGCTGCCCTCTGGGTCTCTTACGCCCGCCTTTCTGACCACACAGGTATGAATCAACATTTTACACGAATAAACACCGCCGCACCTCCGCAAACTACCAGACCAAGCCAGTGATAGGTAACAGGCAGAGGAGGGGAAGGAGACATTTTTGATCCAGAAAGTCAGACAGGGAGGGGATGGAGAGAGGTGAGCGGAAAGAAAGGAGGGGGGGAGGGAGGTTTCTAAGTGAACCCATATGTTCCTGACGCTCCCGATTCTCTGGCAGCGGCTCGCTGACCAAAACAGGACAGTCTGACTACATTCAGGAACTCAGCTGACGTTCTTATCCAGAATGAATAATCATACACTGCTGTAGGAAACTAGAGGAAGTGGAGGTTGAACTGATTACTCAATAAGTCTATTTGAATCTCTACTCCTATATCCTTCTACATTTTTAGAAAATGCTCCTCATTTATTTTGAAACCAAACCCAAACGAAGGACCTTTTAATGCTCTGGAAACCAGCTCAGAGTTGGTTTCAGTTTTTCATGCTGTGTTCAAGCAGTTGGCCCATTGTTCTGAGGTTGATGTGATAACGCAACAAAACCATAAGAGAAAAAAAAATTTAAATATAGATCAAGAAAAATGATGACAAATGACATTAGGAGAAATGTTCTGACTAATCAGTGAGTAATAACTGACGAAATGGGTCAACATCACCCTGCATAGTATGTTGGGGAACTTAGAGCCATTTAGGACATGCAAGAACATTTCTACACCAACCAGGAAGACTTGGGCTTAAACCAGTCTGGATCTCTCTTCTTATGATCAATTTTAGTCTTCTAGAAATTTAAAATCTAGTTGGATGAAAGGGAAGCAGGTTTCAGAGGAGTAATTGTTGACACTATAGCCTACATATTGAACAAGGTTGATCTTAATTATTGAATTGACCAATCGTTTATTCAATGGATTATCTTACTTTGTCTTGTATTTCCTTATTTCCAGACTGCATCCGGTCTGTTGCTAACACCCAGTCCTTTGTTGTCCAATATCCATTTCTGGTCCGGTCTGAGTCCGGTGGGTCCTCTGAGCCCAGCCCAACTGCAGAGCCATGCTCAGCTCTTCCAGGTAATCTTCCTTAATTCTGTTGAAAACAATTCACTTCAAAAGTTGCTCCCTTTCCTGTTCAGCTGATTTAGAAATACCCTGATCACGTGACTCAGCCCTTTTGTATTACATTATAGCAAATCAAGTGTACTTGAAACCTTGGCAACAGACATTTAGCTACATTCTGTTGTCATAACAACCAAACCTTCAGAGGGTATAGCTGCTTATTTTCCTTGAGAAACACAGGCCTCTAATTTTTCAAACGTCCATTTTGGTCCCCTGCACATTTTACTGTCCAAAGACAATTTTATGCTACAGTACAGAGAGATTCGTTGAGCACTAGGACCAAGCGGAAAACCACAGCTCAAGCCCGCTTGTCACTACTTGATCCGTCCCGGAAGCACGATCCATTCTGCGGACGCGCCATCAGCTCATTTGCGCATTTGAATCCAGATAAGCATCGATTTTATTTTGTTAAAAAGATCTAAATGATGTTTTCTTTCCCCAAAAATAGTAAATGTACTAAAATATAATGTGTCAAAGGTAAATGTATTTCCTGAGAAAACAAATGCCTTAAAATCCTTTCTTTTATCACTTGTCTCTGCCCGATCGGCACCGGAAATGGGATCCTACGCCACTTCTGGTGGCTAACTTTTTCGGCTTTGGATTTGAACATAAATCTATTCTTTTTGAGTTTTATGTTTTCGTTTACCATGTTTATCTAAAATGCAGATAAACATGGTTTAATCATACTATGCCGGACTGCTCTGAGGATATCCAATGATGACGTCAGAGAAGCAGTTTAACGAAGAAAATGTAAAAAGCATCAAAATTGTCTCACAAAAGTCGTAAAACCTTTTTTAAAGATGTGTATAAGCAAATAAGTAGTTTTAGTACCATAATTGCATTATTTATGAACACCCGAATGCATATCTGTTCGCGCATCCGGGTCAGATCGGGTAGAGACACTGCTTCCCTGAGTTTAAACAGATCACAAGCTCCTGATTGGCTCAACGTCTTTTCTTGTGTGATTGGCTCTCAAAGCCGTCACTCCTGAGAGGCTCACTTTACAAACATCTGATGCGCCACTGAATCGGGTCCGTGATGGATGGTCAAACACGCTGAAGTCATTTATATTAAAAAGTACTTCTGAAATCAAAATTTCATCCACCTCATAGATGGTGCCGCTGTAGGTACCAGATCTGCTCGGGGCTCTCCCCCTACTTATGACGTCAACATATGGCAACTCCACTCAGACAAACTGTATTGCACCCGTTTCTTAAGAATCAGATCTCTTTTGGAGTCCCAACATATTATTCCTTATATTTACTATTATTTTACCTTTCATTGATGATCTAAAGCAGCTGAAAGGTGAAAACAATCATTCTAAGACTTGAAAGAAAGTACTGTGTCCTAAGATTGAGCTCTGCCATTTAACAAGTTATGAAAAACATGTTTAGCTTTTTATTCTTTTTTTAAGATCTGAGGACAGGAAGGACAAATGGAACATCTCAAAAATGGCTTTCATAGAGATTTTAGACAAATAAGTTATTCTACTTGTAGAAAATGAACAGTTGTTGTTGACACAAAGTAAAAAGTAGTGTATGTTAAATAAAATGCAGACCTCATACATAGAAATCTGATTGTAATAAATTGCTAAAATCTTTGTTTGCTATTCATTTCTCCCTGAAGTTTCCTACACTGCTGAATGGACCACTTCCCCTCCCTCCTTCCAATGTGGATGCTCCCTCTCCTCTGCTGCTCTCCAGCTCCCATAAGTCCTGATGCCAGCAGGAGCTCTGTAAGCACTGTTCCCTGAACATCTAAAGGGGGCTGGATCATCACTAATGATTGGATGGAGCCCAACCCTAACCTGGCTGAAAATACATCTGAGACTTAACCATAATTCCAGAAGAAAATGGGGCTCCACTTCTGAGGATTTTTTGTGCGGGTCACCGTCGCAGATGTGGGATTTGACACTCCCACGGCTCTCATTTCATAACTAGTTAAAGCAAAGTTTTGTAAATCTCCTTCAAAAAACCCATTTTCTTTTGCATCATAAACTCTAGCTGTCATGACTAATCCTAGCATCAGTTCCTCTGACTCAGACCTTAGCGTTAAGAAATTCTGGAAGATTTGAGAACTAAAACTATTACAATAGTAGAAAAACCTTGGAAACTGTTCTTGACGCTCCAATTCTGGATGCAGCAGGATTGGCTTTGCCCACATTTACATAAACATATTTGGGATTATACCTTCTTATACATTTCTAGAAAATGTTTAAATGATGAAAAATTGACAAACTTGCCTTGTTTTTATTACTTTAAAAGATTACTAGCACAAAAAAGGACAAAACGGATTGAAGTGCTAGTCCATGTAGCTTTTCAGTAAGCTAACGTTTTCCCGCCTTTTTAAATCTAGATACAAAGCTAGTTACCTTCTTATGCTCTTTTGTCCAGTTAGACAATTTTTTTTATATAGGTAATTCTTTTTAAAGATAAAAAAACCCTAAACAGTTTTAAAAAAAAAAAGAAAAGAAAAAAAAGAAAAAGGTATCATGCAGTAGCCTAATTATCAAGTGTTAACTGTGTTTTTCCCCCCCTCGCTTTTAACCACAACTTTTTTTTTTCATGTACAAAGTTTCTCTTTTCTGAATACTGAAGGCCACAGGATTAAATCTGATAAAACTGGAGAAAACTAACAGACTAGGCCGCATGAGATGGGACCTTAATCGACTCCTAGCATAACATGCTAGTAATAGTTAAAATGCAGTGCAGTTCTTTCTGCACAATTTCTATACTTTTTTTTATTTTTACATTTGCACTGTACTGTACTTTTGAGCTGTACCTTATATTTTGTAAAATTTCTGGAAATGTGTTTTAAGCATAATACATTTTTTTGTCAAAACTGCTCAAATAGCTTGTTATGTAGCAGTAAAATTGCTCTTGGTTATTTTTATAGGAAAAAAAAAACAGCAGATCGTAAGTTTTCTTTTTTAAATGGTTTTGTTTTTAAATAAATGACAAAAAAACTCTTTGTATTTTGTTTTTTTTATGAAAAATTTTTTCACTTTGCCCAATATCTCCATTATTATACAGAAAATGACGACTACACAGGTAGCTTATGAAACAAATCTTAAATTTTACTTCTGACGGTTATGAGAAATAAATAGTTCCAGTAAAAAGAGTCACACACCAACTGTTCACCGGCAGCTCAGTGTTTCAGAGTTTGAGTTGACAACACAGCAGGCCTTCCATGCATCAGGCGTACACAAACCCACACGCTCAGACAAACGCATACAAATAAGTCATTCATCCATCTGAAAAAGTACAGTTTTACAACGATAAATATTAAGTTGCTTTAGAAATCTCCTTCCGTTACTGCTGTTCATGTACAAAAAGTCTTATTAGCATAAACACAGTTGGCAGTATACACTGAAATGATCCTCAATTTCGATAAAGTGGAATATACAGAAAAACAAACTGAAATAGGTAAAAATTGAAATATACAGGTTTCCAATTTTTGACTTGAAAAACACCAGGCCAACATAATACAGGACATATACCATTAATATAATGACTTCCTGTTTACAGTATGTCACACATGTACTCGACTGCATAAGAACAATTGAAGGTCTCAAATTAAGAGCGCATTTTAAAAATAACAGATCAAAAAGATTTGTCATTTTTACAGGATCATTGCACCATTACCTGCGATCTGTGTTTGGTGTTAATATTATTACATTAATCATTTCAGATGCAAGTTTATCAAGCTTTCCCAGTGCTTCTAGCACTCCTCTAGCATGTGCTACCTAATCTGAAACATAAAACACTAGTGTTGCGTAAATCTTTCTAGTCACAAAATACAGTTTTCATTTCTGCCGTTGAGCTAAATGGCAACAAGAAAACTTCCCTCTGATTCCTAGACAACTTTTAACAAAGTTTGATGTTTAATGCACTCCTAGTTTTTCAAGCCACCTTTTTTTATACACTTTAAAAATTTCACATTTTCACTGAAGATGTTTAATTTTGCACTAAAATTGCTTCATGTTTAAATTCTGCCAGCTTTTAATGTACTATTTTCTTTACAACATATAACCTTTTTTGGCTATACGTTACGCTAAATATCTATGCTAATCTAAAGCTTGAGCTGTATTGTCATACGCCAGTGATGCACCTATTAAGCTTAAATGCTAATTATCCTCAATACTATATTCATGAGTAAACAAACAGTCTTTTTCAACTTAAATTACTTCTATTAAGGTGTATGTTTAGTTTTAGAGCACAGCTAATGCCCATATCTAAAGTTAGCTTAATCTGCAAAGTTAGCCTAGCGGGTAAACAAACTCCACCACACAGATAACACTGCAAGTTACAATTTCACAAATGAGATATTAAACGATGGATTAGTTTTACAGGCAGAAAAGTATTAGCATTAGCATTGCTAGCTCTTGCAAAGTGTTCTGTGTAGCTGTAGATATTTAGCTACGGTCAACGTGAAAACAATGATGTCATGATTCAGGAATGCAGTGAACATCAGCTGTCATTTCAGAACTATTGAGGGAAATTTCCTTTTTGCCAAAGTAAACGTATTTAAAAAAACAAAACTAAAAAAGTTTTCAACAGGTTGAATTATATTTAGCATCACGGTCTGTTGCTAACAACAGATTGGCAGCAGAATCTGGGGAGAATCTTAGGGCCTCCACCTTTGTGCCGTATTTATAAGGTATGGGAACGTATTTTAATACTTTTGGGTAAACTCAGCCATGTTGTGGCCAACGTCCCTGATAACAAAAAAAAAAATCTAAAAACTGGAGTGCAATGTAGAATTACAAAATGCATACTGAAACAAAGCCTGGCAGTTTAAGGGTTTGCAGGTCTGTCTGAACTTTAATCTTCTGGGTTCTGGTATTTCTCCTCAACAATACTGTGCAGTAGTGCTTCCAATAAGGCATGGGCTGGTACTCTGGTAAACGCGCTCATTTTCTTCCTCTGAAATGGTAAAACGACAATTGCTGGAATGACTGACCAGTTTTCCCTGGTCACTTGGGTTAGTCTCAAACGGACGCTCTAACAAACATAAAATGTCTGGAAACGTTTCCAGTAACAACAAAAAACAGGGAATCATGTGGAAACGAAAAGGACAATAAAACTTTGCTTTTTTAAAGAGAGTAAATAATGTTAAATAGGCCATCAATGAAAAAAGGTTACCTAATTAACAAGTTTAATACTAATCTAGCTGCTTAGGCCAGAGGCTGTGCATGAAAATCAAAATATGTTCCACAAAATGATAACATAACACAATAATCCGTTTAATGCTTTAACTGTAGTTTCTGTCTAATATAACAGGGATAAACTGTTTGATCTTTTAAATCAGGTTAACAATCAATCAGAATCGTACCAGCCCATTCCTCATTTCCCCCTCGGATCTGGTTCTGTTGGTTTAACAGAGTGATGGAAATGAGCAGAAACCCAACAGCTAATCCTTTTAGCTTTGTTCAGCTCTCATTTTGAATCCCCCGCCATCAGAAAAGCAAAACTCATCTGAAATGTAATCGGAGAACAAAACCCCGACCAGCACCATCACGGTGCTTCAACCTTTTGAAAACGTAGAAATCTTGTATAGTTCGGTCACGGAAGCTCGAAGGAAATCAAAAACAAAACAAAATCTCCAAATATACATATATACACATAAATATATATGTATAGATTTACACAATGCATAAAAGGTCTGAAGGAACTGCAGCTTTTTTTTCGCTCTGTAAGCACAACAATGAAAACAACAACTTCATCACAGCGTCAACGTCAACATCCGTTAATTTTCAAAACTAAAAAAAAAAAAAAAATACCGAAGAATTATAGTGAGAAACAAGCAAACAAACAACTGAACAGTAACCTAACAGACTGCTAAACTGTGCAGGTCGTCTTTAGTTCACATCATGTGCACCGACGCACACACATGTACACACACACACACACACCTCAATGTCACATATAGCAGACAGTAGTAGTTTAGCAGCAAAAATAAGTTAACCTTACACCCCAATAAATAAACAGTCTCCAAGCGTTTTTAATCATTCAGAGGGTGTGTGTGTGTGTGTGTACGCGTGTGTGTGCGGGTGAGGAGAGGAGCTCCAGGGGGAGGTGGGCTCATGCTAGGAGTTGCTGGGAGGTGCAGACGAAGCCGGCCGGTTGACCGTCCTATTCAGGAAATATTAGAAAAGCATGCTTTGCCTTCTGTTGATGTTGCTGTTCCCTGGAAGAACAGAGAGAAGTGTAAGAATACAATACCCACAATGCATCTGGCAGAAGACAAAAGTACAAGAATTTATTGATTTTTTCCAGTATAAATGCGTTACACATGAAGTGAAATAATTCTATGAAGTGAATTTTGTTCCACTGATACACTGTACGATTTTTTTGCCCTTTTTTGGGCCGATTCTGCTGTCGTACGAGAATTTTTCGATTGGGCCGAATTTTTGCCTGATCGTGAGTCGTGTAGCGCACAGGACCACCACGGCCACCTCCCAATCAGGAATTGTAAGTTTAGTCGAAAATCAAACATGTTCAGAAGCATAGTGGGGGTGCGAGTGAAATGGAGTTCTTCCTGTAAAATTGACAGAACGTAGTAGCCATGTTTGATCAGCCATGTCTTTGTACAAATACGTTGTTGTCTTTTCTTTTTAGGCCTTTCAGCACACAAAAATATACACTTCCGTCTTCTTCTTCTTCTGCTCGTTTGGCTTCCGGATAGACGAGTACAATAGCTCCATCTCTCTGCGGAGCAGAGTCCGACGTGGTTTTTAGACGTAAAGTGTGAGCAGGTAGATCGCATCAGAGTGTCGGGCAGCACAGTTTGAGAACAAACATCGTGAGCTGTCAACTTTTAAACCCTGCAGGTTCGTCGTACAGTGTGAGCTGTAGCTGAGTGCAACGTTTGAAAAAAAAAAAAGTACAGTGTACGCCCGGCTTTATTCTTGCATAAAACAGGTTTTGTAAATGGAAATTACAAAAAGATAATTCAGAGATGAAACTTGTGTAAAAAAATGTGTAATGAAAAAGGATCAGAGTTACTTTGCTGCTTCCTTCAATTTTAATTTTGTGCAACTCGTTTTATACTTTTAATTCTTGACCAAGCACATTTTTATTGGTCTGCTATACATTGCTAACGGTCAGCAGACCAATAGAAAAGCTTTTTGGCTCCACATTCCAGAGGAAAGCCCGCCCCCAGAAGTGGCCAGATCTATTAAAAAAATCATTTAAAAAAAATAATAAAATACAATAGAAAAAAACAAACCTAGTAAAACAGCCCAACAATCAAAACCTAACCTTCTTAACTAAAACAGTTTTCAAAGTTTCCTTATTATATTTAGCTGGTCAACGTAAACAAAAAAAAAATGATGTCAGGAATGTAATGTACATCAGCTGTCAATTCAGAGCAATTAAGGGACATTTCCTTTTTTTTTTACAGCAAACCAAAAACAAGTCAGCAGCTTTAACCCAGTCAGTCCAGATGTAAATAATGTGTGGATCGACCCGACTAAACATTATACCCTCATTCAATGTGATCACGGCTCAGAAAGAAAAAGCTTTAGAAGGAACAGTTCTTCATAAAATGAAAGAAGACCCTTTTGATCAGTCAAAGGCTCATCCTCCATACAGCCATCAACGTCAACAACTGGCTGAGAAACCATGTCAGTTAGAACCACATTTAACTTCTCTTTGGGTAAAATCCTTTTAATAAAATGGGTCATAATTCATAAGGAAAATAATCCCCGATATGTGCCGATTTTCATTTCTCTTCCTTGTCCATTTTTAGGAAATGTAGGCATAAGAAGGGACTGATAATGGGTGTATGAACAGAGGGATTACCACCCACCTGACTCTGGGTAGGAGGAGCTCCTGTAGCCTGGGTCTCTCTGAAGCTGCACCTCTTTTAATGTGAAAATTGATACACCTGAATCACGGCAGAGAGAGAAAGAGCTTCAGCAACAAAATGCAACAGGAGGCAGGAAATCAAAGAATAAAAAGACGGAGGAAGGTCTGAGGAGAGCAGACAGCAGCTCACTTTCTGGCAGGGTGTGGACTCTCATCCCCAGCTGGCTGAAGTAGGAATGTTTCATGGCCTCGTCAGCTGAAATCCTCGCCTTGGACTCGTACTGCAGAGAAATGCAAATAAACAGAATCAGCTGCAGATGATCAGGATTCAATCATGAAGTGCCTTCGGGCTGGAGAGATAGAAAAACTGCGCCCCCTGCTGTTTGAACCAGGAACTGATGGATTTCAGCACCAAAATGATTCCATGAACAAGGCAGATTACTTGATGAACATGTGTGTATAACCATTGTCGTCATGGTTACTGATGTAAGACACACCTGGATTAATCGGTTCATCAAGTTGTGCATAAGGCCAATTTGGTCACTGTTTATAACCTCTAAGGTTTATTTAAACAGATAATCATATTTTGTTCCTTAAATTTAGTTAGCAGGAAGGTTAGAACAGAAGTTAATATTAAATTTAATATTATTCCAATTAATTTAAATCACTGAAATCTTTCTTTAGCTTTACTAAGATCCCACTGTGCTGAAAACAGAGGGACTTTAACTTTACATGCAGCTATTGTCAACTGTAAAAGTATGGAGTGAATTTCTGTTGCAAGCAAATGTTTTTGTAGGTGGAAATTTGAAAAAACCCACGTTAAAAAATTTTTTAAATGTAATGCAGTAATTACAATTTCAGTTTCATGGAACATTTTTGTTTTCTTAGATTTATGTTTTTTCATTTTAAATCTGTTTTATTTAAAAACTCCAATCTGAAAATGTGAAATGTGAAAAGAAATTCAAAAATATAAAATCTGCAAACAGTTTTTAAACTTCAATTTGAAAAAAAATTGAATATGTATATATAAAATATGTAAATAAAGAAAGAGAAAAATTACATGAAAGAAAAAATACCTTTGGAAAAAAAGAGAATAAAAAATAAAGTTGTAAAAAAACAAACAAAAAAACTGTTGAAATAAAATCAGAGAAAATAGCAGTTACTTTCAGGACATTGTTTTGATTTGGATTGCATTTTAAATTTCACTCCATACAAATCAGCATGACTATTTCTAACGAGTGACATGATCATTGTGTAAATTCAACCATCTTAAGTCTGACGTTTCTTCATCTAGAGGCGGAACGAGGATTATGTGTAAATATTCGATGCTCAGTGTAAGGTACAGAGGAGGAGCTGTGGTGCTGAGGGCTTCTTTCTCCATCAAATCTCATTGAAGATTCTTTTAACTGTTGCTAGCAAAACTTTATCACTATTACTGAGTGTTAAAGTTATTTTAAGAAAAGCAAAAAATTTTTTGACAATGAACAAAAAAAAGACTATAATTTTAAATGTCATGATGAAGGATTATTGAGCAGTTTCTAAGCTTCTTTTGTGTGGTTCTGAGGTGCCAAACTTTATATGAATCTGATTAGGGTTTGAAGACTTACTCTGAGGAAAGCCAGCAGCAGCTCGATGCCTTCACTGTCCAGCCTAAAGAAAATCACAAGAAGAAAGAGTTCACCATGTGCCAGCAGGATAGGCTGATGGGGATGTGGAGGACTCATGGGAGGAAGGAAGCTCTAATGTTGGGCAGGATTTCCTGCCTGCGGCGCTGCAGATGCACACTCAGGAAAATACGCTACGTTACATTCAAAGCTGAGGGATATGAGGAAAAGGTGTCTGTACCTGGGCGCATGGTTGATCAGCGGCTGCGGTTTGTATTTGGGGAAGTTGTACGATTTAAACTCTTCTATGGAGGAGATTCCCGGCCAGTTCTCCTCTGTGGGCGTACCTGAAAATACAAGGACAGATCAGATCGGACACGGCGAGGCGCCACAATCAGACAGAGAAAAGCTGGTGGTCAAGAGGGAGATCCTCACCCAGCATCCTGAAAATGAGATGCAGCTCATCCTCCACGGTGGAGCCGGGGAAGAGCGGCCGACCTGCAGCCATCTCGTAGAATATACAGCCCACGCCCCTGCAGAACAAACAGCCTCCATCAGCTGAGGCAACAACTCAACCTGGTAACAGCAGGACTAGCAGGAAGGAAGAAACACCAGAGGGAAGCCATGTTTCTCTGTGGTTAAAGACTACATGTGTTATGGAGTGAATTTTGGTCCATTATTATTGCAAGCAAAGACTATAATATATGGATTGAAAAACAAAAAAAAAATTCTATCAAAAAAATAAAGTTCTTCAAAAGAATATTTTTACAAAAAATTCATTTTTTTTTTTGTTTTGTTTTTTAGAATTTGTTTTGTCAAATTATCTAAATTACACTTTTTAAAAATATATATTTTAAATAAAGATTTTCAAAATTATTTTATATTTGATATTTTCACTTTTATTCACTTTATTTTTTTCACTCTTTATTTTTTCAAATTTAACTCGTTTACAGATGTTTTAATTTTTCTTTTCAAATTTCTGGTTTCCAGATTGAGTTTCACTTTTTGCATTCTTTACAAATTTCTTTTCACAGATCATATTCTCTGCCCTCCAAACCCAAACAAACGCTCACTCTGGACCAATTAAAATGTTGGCGCTAATTTTTATGCAGACCAATAGAAAGGCTTCTTTCCTCCTCGTCCAGAGAAAAGACCGCCCCCAGAAGTGAAGAGGATCTGATCTTTAATATGCAATTTAAAAAGAATACAGGTTCTAAAACTCATTCTGAAAGAGTATAAAATGTTAGAAAAAATAACAATTTAAGGAACTAGGGCAGAAATTGTGTAAGATCAGACATGCATGTCCAGTTTTCGAAAAAAAAAAAAAAAAAAAAAACACAAATTCAATAAGTCTTGACTAATATATATATATATATATATATATATATATATATATATATATATATATATATATATATATATATATATATATATATATTTTTTTTTTTTTTTTTTTTTAACCTGCTCTTTTCAACAATAATGGAAACAAGTGCACTCCATACAGGTGTCCCATGACCATGACATTAAACCAGGGCTGAATATTTACCACATGTCGATCTGTGTGGAGTACTCCGAGGACCCCAGGAGGACGTCAGGAGGCCGGTACCAAAGAGTCACCACCTCGTTGGAGTACGTCTTGGTGGGGACCGACTTCGCCCTGGCAAGACCTGCAGACCCACATCGCACACATTTCTGGTTTATTTACCAGGATTTGTGAAACTCTGACATAATGATTCCAGATCCAGCTACAATCTGCAGCATCCAGTATTTTTTTTCGCCTTCCTGCCATAACTGCTTAATAATTAGTGGTCAGAAATAAGCAAACTTCCACACGGTGAGAGAGATGCTGAAAAAACGATCTTTATTATGGCCACACAAAGACGGAGTGACTTTCACAGCTTCTATTAGCAATTAGCAAAGCTAGCATCACTAAAACCAAAGTGTAGCGGAGCATTCCATGTGTAGTAGAAAGGTGACATTTCTAAAAGGCTGAAAACATCAAAGGTCCAGCCTGCTTTGAAAGAAAGGATAAAAAGCTAATTAAATGGTTCAGCCAGGGCTGCTTAGTGGGTAGCACTGCTGCCTTACAGCAAGAAGGTTTAGGGTTTGATTCCCCGCCCGGGGTCTCTCTGCATGGAGTTTTAATATTCTCACTGAGCATGCGTGGATTCTCTCCAGGTAGTCTGGCACTAGCATCCCTTGCGACCCCAGCAGGGATAAAGCATGATGGAAAATGGATGGACATTTTTTTTAGCCTTCCTGTTATCTGCTCTAAATCTTACCCTCTCTCTCTGAGGAAAAAAAATATTCATCTCTGGATAAAAAATAAAATTTTGTGTTTGATGTTATTTCTAAAACCATTACTGATAAAAAAAAAAAAAACTTTGAAACCTTCTTCACACAGTGACGGCTGCCACATTAAAAAGTGTGTTGCTGTAACCAGAGGAGCTGAGGTACGGTAAGTTTCTGAGTTCCCAACCAGCTGCAGGTTAAACCACTTCCTACCATCTTAAGTAGAGAACAAGCAGAAACTCTTTGGGTTCTTCTTACCAAAATCAGCCAGTTTCAGTTCCCCCCTTTCATTGATTAAAAGGTTCTGCGGCTTCAGGTCTCTGTGGAGAACTTTCCTCTTGTGACAGTAGGACAGCCCTCGTAAAATCTGAAACAGGAAGATCTGGAAACACACAGTTGAGTTTGGTTAACTCCACAGAAAGTCGAAATGAGAAACTAAAGGTGATGAAGACGTAAAAACACATGAAGGAATAAATTACAAGGACAGAACAATCTCCTTAATGTACCGCAGAATAAAAGGAAGTGGAGGAAAAGGTCAGTCCTTACCTTCACGTTGTGCATGCTCATTATGTTTGCACAGTCGTCCATGTACTGCTTCAGATCTTTATCCTAAAGAAAGAGACGAAGCCATGAGGCAGGGAAACCAACTCTAAATCTGAACTCACATTTGTTTTAGCATCAAAAGCTTTCCTTTATTCAATTAATGAGATACTTCTATACATAAACAATAACATTTAAATTGATCATAACAGCAATAAATATTCTAATCACCAACTAATTAGTAACATAAGAATAGGATGTTATTTTTGTTTTTTTTCACTGCAGCAGACATGGAGCAATTTTCTAATATTCTCTAAAACACCATGAAGCTCACCAGGTACTCAAAGACCAGCGTGAGGCTTTTGTCGGTGTGGACGATGTCATGCAACGTCACGATGTTGGCGTGTTTCAAGTCTTTTAGAAGTGACACTAAAGAGACACAAAAGAGAACAAGTTAAGGATTAAATCTGATTGGGTTTAATGGGAACACTGGAAGTTTATACATCAGCTGGATGTAAAATATTTCAAGTCCATTAGCTCATTAAGAAAAAAAAAAAAAAGATAGTTAGTTCTAAGGAAGAAGTAGGAATATGAATCCAAGAGAACCCAGGAATGAATGAATGAATGAATGAATGAAAGGAACTGGAACCAGGGGACAAAAAAGAAAGAAAAACAAAAGGAAAGAAAGAGAGAAGTAAAGACAAAGAGACAGAAATAAAAGAAAGGAAAGCAAAAGGAATAAAAAGTGAACGAAAATAAAAGGTTTCAAAGTAAAAGACAGAAAGAAAGGATGGAAGAAAGGAAGGAGACAAGCAGCAGGGAGAGGACACCAATAATGAAGGATTGATGTAGTTCAGACCATTAAACCGGGTCTGCAGGACAGTTTATGCTCCGTCACCTTCTCTGATGGCCGTACACGGCGCTCCCTCTTCGTGCTCCAGTCTGATCTCCTTCAGCGCCACCAGGTTGTCCGTCAGCTTGCTGCGCCCCTTGAACACGGTGGCGTACGTTCCCTAAAGGCGACATTGTGATCAGAACCTCAGAGGAATCACCTGCTAACCTACGGTTCCTCCAGCTTTTCTTACCTCGCCCAGTTTGTCCAGCTTAATGTACGTCTCCAACTTCCCAAAGCCGATCTCAGACTGAGGAGGAGAAGAAGAACCGGGTCAGACTGGGGCAGAACCTTCAGTTCCTGCTTGGTTTAGTCAGTTATCAGTGCTTTCATCCAAAACCAGAAACTGAACAATGAAACCTTCAAACAGCAGCGATCTGGATTGATTATGATGCAGACTGAACTTCAGACATCAATAAATAAAGATGTTCTTATTGGGCTATTTTTAAATGAATTTAGCCAAAAATAGCCATAAAACCCTCCTTTAACTCCTGAGCAGTTCAAAGCTGCAGCAAAATGCAGTTGTCTAAATGGATTAAAACTAATCGAATCATTTATTTCATTATAAAAATCTTCAGTTTGGAGAGTCTGCTGAGTTTTATGATCCAATCTGGTGGGGATAAAAGTAGGAGGTGAGCGAATCCATCTCTCATCGGGCCAGTAGCCATGGCAACGGCACAGAGGGAGTCTGGTAATGAGACGACGAGCACTGCAGAAGCTAGAGAGGGACAAAAACACGACGGGAGGGGGTTCTCAGACTGACCAGCGAGGCCCGGCGGGAGCGTCGGCTCAGCGGCTGGTCGAAGGGCGGGCTGCTGAGCTGCAGCTTCTCCAGGTAGCCGTCGGGGATCCGGATGTCAGCAGGCAGCGACAAGCGCTTGTTCAGATCCTGAAGCAGAACAGATTCCAACACTTAATGAAGAACCAAAACATCGTAGTCCGATTCTGTGGAGACGAAATGGAGCAGCAGGCTGAGCAGAAGATTCTCCAACCTGCCGCACGATGCCGGCTTTAGAAAAGTATTCACACCCCTTACCCACTAGGTCACTCAAAGATTGTAAACTTCTATGACTCTGATAAACAATGTAAGGACTGAATAGAAGGAAAAGATAAAACGAGGCTGGGACCAGTTCAGAACAGCTGCTGCTGAGGAAAAAGAAAAAACAAAACAAGCAAGCATTTCATCAGCATGATGCTGCCACCACCATGTCTCACTCTGTGGCTGCTGTTCTCAGGGTTAGCTTTGATGTTTGGCTTTTGATCAACTGCTAATATGAGATTTTTAGGTGGTTTCTTCCACAATTCTAAATAAAAACAAGTGCAGAACCTAAATAAGCGCTCTTTCTTCAAAATGATTTTCATTCAGCTACATTTGAGGTAAATAATGCAAAATAAATGCTCATTTCTTGGCTGGTCATTTTATAACATTACATTTATTGGACTGAAAGCCCAGGTTTGACTAGGCCAATCTAAATCTTTGATTTTGCTGCACCTTTTAGTGAAAATTCAGGTTTGAATAAGCTAGATGTTAGTTTACACTAAATTGACATTTTTTCTTAATTACAGTAACTGAGGTCAGCAGCACTCTACTAGTTTTTCTTTGATTGTTTTCTGGAGCTCCTGCTTGATTTAACAGCCTGGAGTTCCTCTGCTGCTCTGCATCCAGCATTAAACACAGATGAGAATAGGTCAGCGCGTCATTAAGAAGGAGAGGAGATATTTTCACCAAAGATGCCATGTTTGGATTTGTTCTATACTCTCCATGGCCAGCAGGGGGCAGCAGGCCTCCAGGGTGAGCTGCAGGTCCACATACAGCAGCTTTTTGTTTGCAAAAGAAAGGAACACAGATCATTAAGGCAACTTCTAGATCTTTATGCTGTGATTCCTGAGCCAACCGATCATGTCAGACACTTCTAGCTGATTTGATGGATTTTCTGCAAATAATAACAAACTAAAATGACAAAAAACAGTACTGATGAGGCCAGGAGGGGCTCAGGCTGATGGCTGTGAAGCAGAGGAACAGACCCGGCTTATTCCCAAGCCTCAGAGATGACAACAGGCCTGTGTTGGAGCGTACGCTCGGTAGAAAATCTATATTCCAGCCTTTTCTCGTGCTGTGACAGCTGACATGACGGAAATCAGAGTCTTTTACCTCCATGGAGATGCGGCGGTGAACTCTGTTCCTCAGACAGACACCTGTAGGCGACTGGACCTCATCTGAAGATGTTCCTGAAGCCTGGTCGCTTTCCCCATCAGAACCCATCTTCAGGTTCTCATGAACAATGTCTGAAATCAGAAGAAGAGTCACAGCTCGAATAAACTGAGAAATAACTGAGGAGGTCTTAGTATAACTTTAAGATGGAGGCGGGTGCTAATACAGCTTTGTTTGCTCTAAATTCGGTGGATTTAAACCTTTGAATCGTTGCTGCGTCTGTAGATCTGAGCATCTTTGAGAATTTTAAAAACCAACAAATGTTTTTTTTTTTTTTTTTATCAGGAAATTGGAAATCATCTCTCCAGCTGACATCAGTGTCACATTTAGATGATCAATGAAAGATGCTTGTTTAAATGTAAACACTTTCGTCAGCTTTCTGTTCTGTTCAGACTTTTCAGCGGTTTTCTCGCCTCAAACATTTAAATCACTTAACGTGTCGCTGCTTTACATGTAAACTTCCTCCACAGAGTATGAATGAAAGTTTCCCTTCAGCTCCTGTAGGAACCAAAGACCGCAGCCTGAACCGTTTCCTCCCAGGCAATAAAAGATCCCACCACTACTGAAGCCCAGCTGCAGGAGATGTGTGTAAATCCCCCTCCTCTCCTCCACTCACACACACATATATATAGAGTTAATGAGTAGCTATGGCTGCATGGATCTCTGTGATCAGCGCCTCAGACCAGGCAGCCTGTCGTTAAACAAGCCTGCAGAGATAAACTGCTGCTTTATTCTAGATCACATTTGGACGTGTTGGAACTCTAACATTTCTACTTTTGCTACTTCAACCCACTATTTCAGCTGAATAAAACAACATAAAAATCTGGAGAGGAAAGGACAGATTGAGGAGAAGAGGAAGAATTTCTATGAGGGGTTTTGTTGGTGCAGCGGAGCAAAGGTGTGGGAGGAGGAAAGGAGCCAAATATGGGAATTTCCTGCAAGGTTTGCTAACGGGGGAGGAAAAGAAAGGCTTTTGTTGCTCTTTTTTTATGGCCATTTGATCAAAGGTAAAGGTTATAAGCTTTAACAAAAGACTGAGAAACACTCAGGATCTTCGGCTTTATATTATGAGGTACTGCGGAGCGCCACCTACTGTTCCGGATTATCTTTAGATCGACATCTGAACCCTAAAGGGCTGGTTATCCTTCTGCAGCAGTGTGTCACAGTGAGCTTGTCGCAGATATTTTGATCTATGCCCAATATTGAAGCGTCGTATGCGCTTTGTTATTCCACGCCACAACACAAGAGGGACAATCACGACCTAGCTGTGACGGCCGAGGCGGTGAGGAAGTGGGGGCAAGTTTGTGCGAGATGAGGGTGAAAAAGAGCGGGGATCCAGGTGGAAAAAGGGTCCCAGCGTTCTTGTGCACCTCGCTCTTCTAGCTGGTCCAACTTCACGAGTTGTTTTCCACAATGGTGGTCATACAAACAAAACAAGCCGGTAAGGTACCAAACAGGAAAAAGGCATAGTGTATGATTTGACCAATCAGAGGCCTCCTGTCTGCGGTCACCTACAATTTTGGAGACTCACAGCAGAGGTGCAGCAGACTGTCTGTGGAAGGGGCAGGGGCACATTTGCGTTCACTGCGAAACACGCAAACGACCTGGTTTCTGGTTATAAACCCGCCTTAAGCCTACTTCATGCAGTCAGACAGGTTCTGTTCAAGTTGACTGAAAGCAGCTCTCCAAAACATGAAACGATCTATTAACAGTTCTGGATTAATATGCAGTGAAAACATTTGATGGAAATTTGAAAAAGGCACATTTCGAAAAGCCTTTTAATAAAAAAAAAAGATTTTGAATAATTTAGCATTTTTTAAAACTAATTTTTTATATTTTATTTTGATCATATATACATAAATGATATTGTTATATTTAAATATTTTTAATTTTAAATTACATTCTTTTCATGTTTCACTGATCAAATTTTCTTGACCAAAAAAAAAAAAAAAATGTCTTTTAAATTTCTTTTGTTTTACTAAACACTACACTACTAAACATTTTCAAGGTCACATTCTGTCACTCCTGACCAGTTAAAATATTGTCTTTAACGTCCAGCAGACCAATAAATGACTTCATTCCTCACTTCAGAGGAAAGCCCAGAAGAGAAGAGAACGATACCAATAAAATTATATTTGTCAAATCGAAATTTGAAAAAGACAAAAAAATTTAAATAAATTTCAAGTAAAAAAAAGTTTTAATTGCAACATAAATTAAATGACTTTCACTCCATAGGTTAATCTGGTTGGTTTGGATAGTTTTATTTAGTTCATAATTAAATCATTGTTTAAAAACTGCTTTTTATTGAAATCAGGTCATTTCTGTTTTATTTTCAGGCTGCTTGCTTTAAACAGAGGAGCTTTCCCTCTTTAACCAATCAGAGGCTCCTTTGTCTGTCTTTATAACCCAGCTGTTAGATCCTAACAAAAAACATCAGCAAATGTTTTAGATTAACAGGATTTTTCAAGAAAAAAAAAAACAGGTTTTCTATTCATTCCAACCCTGAATCTAACACACTGTTTGCATTTTTCTAACACATACCTGTAAAAAGGGAAGATCTACCATCTTGTTCTAACATATAAACCTCACTGGATCTTTCTCCCTTCATGCCTCTTATGTTTTTCTCCCTTTGATTTAGTCCTCTTCCTCTTGAGGTTTTTCTAGGCAGCGGCTCGTACCGGCTGCATTCCTTCTCTACCAGCTCCTCTCCAGATCTTTTCCCAGATCTAATCTACCCTACTGTCTTCAAACTTCATCTATTTTCACATACCTCTGTCATCTCTCACCATGCTCTACCTTTCCTCCCACAATTCCTACTTTCTATAATCTGCTTTCATTCCTTGGCTCTGATCAGCAGCAGCAGCAGCATCCTAGTCTTCCTCCCACTCCATTTCTGTTAAATTCTTTTAACAATCTTTTACTTTGCAGCCATTTTTACTCCAGTTCATCCTGAATATTCCCATATATCCTCTCTTTCCTGTCCTCATCTCTCTCCCTTCCCCTTTCTCTGCACCTCTTCATTAGCATCTTTGATAATGAACACACACACTGCAGCAGCTTGAAGTGAAGCCTCCATGTCCTATTTAACTGTCCCGTTTTTAGATCCAAGTCCTTCTAACTGGGACAGGGTCCAGTTTGGGGCTCAATGGGTCCTTTTAGTATTTTCCTGTCCAGAAAAAAAAAAAAAGATCAGAGAAGTGGACCATCTGTGGAACAGAAAGTTTCTGCTACTAAAGGACGATGCTGTCGAAGCATTTAGGAAGGAAATTGGTTTAAAGGTTGATGTTGGATTTATGTAAACAGGAGAAACATGAGGAGGTCTAACAGGTTTATGACCTAGAGCTGGTTTGGAACGCTGCATTTTATATTTTATTTTTTTATATGCAGAGATTTTAACAGCCGCCATCTTTTCAAGGACGGAAACACCTTTAGGTTAGCACTGCAAAAAAGTGAGTATGGAGGCAAGTGTTGCTTTTTAAGGCACTTCACAATAAGAACAACAAAAACTGTTTGTTTAATCCAATCAATCTGAAGTCTCAAATCTACCTGCTTCAATTCCAACTTAGGCACATAAATCTATTTCATTCAAGTTGCTTAATTGATTTTGCCATTATGCAGATTTAAGTTGATTTTTACGATTTTGTTGAGGTTGCTACAAAAGTACGCTACAAGTTTAAGAAAAAGGGATAAAGAAGCTATTAAAGATAGCTAGAGAATACTGAAGACAATGTCTTATGTAAAAAAAAAATGAAGCATTAAGTGAAATACGAAATAGTTTGGAAAAACATTTTCATTTAGTCCATTATTTTATTATTTCTTTCATTCCTAAAGTTTTGCTAACCAAACTTTTTCAGACCTGAAAACCATTTCACACAATTTATATCCAAACTAAACCAAACCTGACAACCAGAAATCATCTATCTACCCAAACTTTAAAATAAAGAAAACTGAATTTAGAAACCATGTTTTTAGCCATCTTTATGCCAGAAGGTAGCAAAAAGCACAGTTAGCATCATGGCACGCACAAGGAGAAATGGGCTCTTGCACGTGCATTTGTTTTTTAAAGCGGAGAGGGCGGGTCTTTTAAAAAAAATCCTCCACAATACCTTTAAGGTCAGCGATCGGCCTAATTTCACTGTTTGTGCTAAAATGCGCTGGGCGGGGTCCTGGAGGATTAAACCCAGATGTTACTGAAAACACTAAAATGTTAGAATTTTTCACTGGATAAAACTGAAAAGCAGCTCTTGGTATTGAGTCAGTGGGATCATCTCAATGATTCCTGCAGCGTTTTAGGCCTAAACAAATCTGCTCTCACCTTTAACAGAACTAAAAACTAACAAGCAGTTTTTCTGACAGGTCTCTCTGTTTAGTTATTTTCATCTCATTGTGGGGAATGGAGATCCTAGATTTTTTTTGTCTCAGGAAATCTCATCTCCTTTCATTAATGGTTTCCAAACCATATTTAAGATCTTATTATTACTGGATACTTATCATTTTATAAAAACACTTTATTAACATCGATACTGATGATACGGGGTCCCTCCATCAACACAAACTGCTGCTGCTTTGAATCTTCCTCAATGACAGCTCAGCTGAGATAAATCAGCACGCGCAAGAAACCGCGTCATGTTTGGCTGAGTCCTGCATCCAGCTGCCTCGCGGGTGAGAAGGCAGCCCAGACGGAGGACGCACAGAGAAGCTGGCTCACGGGAACGCCGCCGAGTCATTCTGTCAGTGACTGTGAGAAAAGGACGGTGGAAATCTCAGCATCATGACACACTTCCTGTCTGCTGCCGGATGCCATCTGCTCTCCTTCCGCTCGTTTCCTTCCGCTGTTACCTTGTGTGTTTGGGTTTGTGAACGCTCACCGAGGCGGCTGCCGTTGCGTGGCATGGCCATGAAGGACCCGAGGCTTCCGCCGATGACGCTGTGCGGCCGGCGGAGGGGCGGCTTCTTGAAGGAGCCTGTGTACTGGTGCAGAAAGGAGTGCATGCTGTGGGAGGTGGGGGGGCGGCCATTCCTCATAAAGGGCTCTGTAACAGAGAAAGAAAAAAAAAACCAGGAGAAAATGACATCTTTAGGTGTAAAAAATGAATCCTTCATCACATTAAAACATTAAACGCTGCATCAGATCCGGAGCTGCTGGGGTTAAGAAGCAAGTAAAGCAGCAAATCACCACCTCCTCCTGCAGTCCATGAGGGAGCTGTCTAAGCAATGAAAGAGGAAATTAAAAAGAAAATGCAACTGCAAAAAAGATTTGATAAGCATGATGGGGAAAAAAAGAAATGACCTTTTCTTAATATGATTAAGATATTTACAAACTAAGGTTTATAAATCAAAATCTAGAAATACGATTTGAAGCATTTTAAAAATGTAGTATTTAAGAATTGCTGGATAAATACAGTTTAAAATGCCTCTTAAAATGTGCCATTTCACAACTGTAAGATCTAATGGTTTTTATTGACTCTTCTGGTATTCCATAGCTTTAAAACCAATAGATAATAATGTGGAAAATGTTTAATCTGAATTTAACCAAGCAAGCAGCTTTAATGATTTATCATTTAAAAACAAACACAGTAAAATAAAATCCCAGTCATAAAATACACTTAACCGCTAATAAATAAGCTTTTTATTCCATTACAGTCGATAAAGAGCAAACTGCTTTTGTGTTTACAGACTGGAGTTAAGTGAAGCCTTTGGCAGGACTGGACTGAAAAGAAAATGGCCTTGGTAGTTTTATTTTATTAATGACGTCCCACCATCATTAGATATAGGATATGTGGAGACAGACGGTACCAGAGGATATATCTGCACACTGTTTCCTTTCAACTATCCTAACAAGGTGAAAACAATTTATAGTAAAAGTATTTGGGTAAAAAATAACCTTTAGTACCAAAATCTCTGATTTATTACAATAGTAATCAAATAGACAAAAGTATAAAGTTAAATGCAATAAATAACATTTATGCAGAAGAAACATTTTCAACACTTCAAATCTATTTTGCATAATGAACCCTATCAAACCAGTATGTACAGTTGTTGTTTTTTTTATATCTTTTACTGTATATTAACCTAAACAGCGCCGCAGAAAATACCCTTAAAACAACAAAGATTTTGTTAAACAGGAGGTTTATCTCCTACCTGATGGTTTCTATCTGATGCTTAAAACAGGTCAGCTCTGTTCGATGAGGTTATTCATGGTGGGTAGAGGAGCCTCTTTACAGCAGTATAGCTCAAGGACTATTTTGTTTATATGGGCCTACTTCCTCCGTAGGGTGGCTGGGCTCTCCCTTAGAGATAGGGTGAGAAGCTCGGAGGGACTCGGAGTAGAGCCGCTGCTCCTCCATGTCGAGAGGAGCCAGTTGAGGTGGCTCGGGCATCTGGTTAGGATGCCTCCTGGACGCCTCCCTGGTGAGGTGTTCCGGGCATGTCCCACCGGGGGGAGGCCCCGGGGAAGACCCAGGACATGCTGGAGGGACTATGTTTCTCGGCTGGCCTGGGAAAGCCTTGGGGTTCCTCCTGAGGGGCTAGAAGAAGTGGCTGGGGAGAGGGAAGTCTGGGCCTCCCTTCTTAAGCTGCTCCCCCCGCGACTCGACCCCGGATAAGCGGAGGAAGATGGATGGAGGGAAGTCTGGGCCTCCCTTCTTAAGCTGCTGCCCCCGCGACTCGACCCCGGATAAGCGGAGGAAGATGGATGGAGGGAAGTCTGGGCCTCCCTTCTTAAGCTGCTGCCCCCGCGACTCGACCCCGGATAAGCGGAGGAGGATGGATGGATGGATGGATGGATGGAGGGAAGTCTGGGCCTCCCTTCTTAAGCTGCTGCCCCCGCGACTCGACCCCGGATAAGCGGAGGAGGATGGATGGATGGATGGATGGATGGATGGATGGATGGATGGATGGATGGATGGATGGATGGATGGATGGATGGATGGATGGATGGATGGATGGATGGATGGATGGATGGATGGATGGATGGGCCTACTTGTGTCCATAAATAAAAATACTCCTAAATAGTTAGTAAATGTAACTACATCATATACTAAAATGATTAATGTAAGCATAATTTGGGTGCAAAGCCTGAGGTTAATTAATATTCCTTATTCTTTATCTGTGTTTTCTTCCCAGGCTGTCAGGAGCTCTTCTGACCTCATCCTCAGTCTGTCCCTGCTGGGTCACGCCTCTCTCCTTCCTCATCTACATTTCAACTCCTTCCTGTTGCTCACACATGTGGCATCAAACAAAAATGTTTTGGTGCATTTTATTGCGTCTTATTAGAGTTGTGTTTTTGTGGTTTAATATCGGTTTACACAGATTGAAACGCAGTGGCTTCTCCTACTCCATTAACCTGTGTTGATCCACTTATTGAGAAGGGCCAGCCACGAGGATTAAAAGATTTTTAAAAATGCATTGTAAAATGGTGTTTCACATCTCATATATGGTAAAAAAAATATATATATGCATTTTATTTGTTAAATTGTATTATTTAACAGGGTTTATACAGAAATTAGTAGCTCTAATTGAATGCTTTTTAATGCTCTTATAAATAATTTTATTGCCATCAACAAGTACCTGTGACTCTCATATAAATAACACGGCAAAATCTTTCCTAATCTTTACCGTCGACAGGCTGCAGCCATGTCCTGAATTCCTCGTTCTCCAGCCACTTTTGTTGAAGTTTGCATTTTCACATTCTCTAACTTTTTCCCCGCCTCGGGCTTCTTTTCGGAATATACGGCTTTACGATCAACCGGAAGCAGTTCAGCGCAAACCGACGGACTCAGTTACACTATATTGCCAAAAGTATTTGCTCACCTGCCTTGACTCACATATGAGCTTAAGTGACATCCCGTTCCTAATCCATAGGGTTCAATATGACGTCGGTCCACCCTTTGCAGCTAGAACAGCTTCAACTCTTCTGGGAAGGCTGTCCACAAGGTTTAGGAGTGTGTTTATGGGAATTTTTGACCATTCTTCCAGAAGCGCATTTGTGAGGTCGCACACTGATGTTGGACGAGAAGGCCTGGCTCTCAGTCTCCGCTCTAATTCATCCCAAAGGTGTTCTATCGGGTTGAGGTCAGGACTCTGTGCAGGCCAGTCAAGTTCATCCACACCAGACTCTGTCATCCATGTCTTTATGGACCTTGCTTTGTGCACTGGTGCACAGTCATGTTGGAAGAGGAAGGGGCCAGCTCCAAACTGTTCCCACAAAGTTGGGAGCATGGAATTGTCCAAAATGTCTTGGTATGCTGAAGCATTCAGAGTTCCTTTCACTGGAACTAAGGGGCCAAGCCCAGCTCCTGAAAAACAACCCCACACCATAATCCCCCCTCCACCAAACTTTACACTTGGCACAATGCAGTCAGACAAGTACCGTTCTCCTGGCAACCGCCAAACCCAGACCCGTCCATCAGATTGCCAGATGGAGAAGCGCGATTCGTCACTCCAGAGAACGCGTCTCCACTGCTCTAGAGTCCAGTGGCGGCGTGCTTTACACCACCGCATCCGACGCTTTGCATTGCACTTGGTGATGTATGGCTTGGATGCAGCTGCTCGACCATGGAAACCCATTCCATGAAGCTCTCTGCGCACTGTTCTTGAGCTAATCTGAAGGCCACATGAAGTTTGGAGGTCTGTAGTGATTGACTCTGCAGAAAGTTGGCGACCTCTTCGCACTATGCGCTTCAGCATCCGCTGACCCCGCTCCGTCAGTTTACGTGGCCTACCACTTCGTGGCTGAGTTGCTGTCGTTCCCAAACACTTCCATTTTCTTATAATACAGCTGACAGTTGACTGTGGAATATTTAGGAGCGAGGAAATTTCACGACTGGATTTGTTGCACAGGTGGCATCCTATCACAGTTCCACGCTGGAATTCACTGAGCTCCTGAGAGCGACCCATTCTTTCACAAATGTTTGTAAAAAGAGTCTGCATGCCTAGGTGCTTGAATTTATACACCTGTGGCCATGGAAGTGATTGGAACACCTGATTCCAATAATTTGGATGGGTGAGCAAATACTTTTGGCAATATAGTGTATATCTGAAGAAATTGTTATTATGAACTTTTTTTTTTTTTAGTAAAGCATTTTAAATGCCTCTATAAATAACATTTAATCTTATTGCCAATTAAGGCCTTAATTTGAAAAATAATAATTTAATGACGTTTAATGACATTTAATGACCTGCAGAAGCCCTGTTTAATCAGTGATTAAATAATTTCTTGGAAATAAATGAATACAATTATATATTATTTGATTACAAAATGTCAGCCTTGTCCAATGGCAGTCCTTCCTTTAATTACCTATTATCATTAATAATTTTAACATCACATAATGTTACAAACATTTCATGTTAATAACATTAATGCTAGCAAGCAGTTAGCCTGACAGCTGGGGCATTTAAAAAAAAAGGCACCCCAATTAAAGTAGCTCTTAATCATACGTTACACTAATCTAACGTCAAATTAAGCTGCAATTCATATCAAAACATTCATAGACTGTAAAGTTAAAGTTAAACTATTTAAAAAAAGAAAAATCTGTTTATAGAAGGAGATTGATACACTGCTACTCTAAAAAAGCAGGTTAGTGATATAAGTTTAAAGGTTTAAGCTACCAGAAAATAAAGATGGCGTGGGTGCAGAAGCTGGTCCTGCCGATTGAATCCTTGCTCAGAAAAATAGGCTGGCCAATTTAGCTAATCCGGAGTTAAACCAGTGAAACTATTGATAAATATTTTTTTCTTAAAGACCAGAACAGATACTAGTAAACATACTTGAATGTAAAATAAAAACAAAAATATTTTCTATATCTTAGCAGAAATATTCTCTGTTTATTTTCCTCATCATCAGTCCAAATTAAATCCAGCTTCCCTGATAATCCTAATTTATGACAAACCACAATTGTTAGATTTAAAACCAAAACAAAGATGCGTTCAACTGGATCATAACATCAGTATCTTTATTGCTACGTTAGAATTAGGTTTTTTTGTAGACAGCTACAAGTTGAAACTCGTACAAGATGATTAAAATGTCTAAAAAATATCAAACTTTAGTTAGCATATATGAAAAATAAGCTATTTTAACCTGCTGGACTAAAATCAGTGTAACAGTACTGATGCTTAAACTCATACACTATTATTTTGATCTAAAAGTAGGTTTAACGGCTGTGAATTATCTGTCTGCTCCAATAAACCATGTGGATCATAAAAAAATAAAAAGTAGTCTTTCATGCCCCTACATGTTCCTATGCTGCCTTCAGGGCCATGAAAGCAGAGGAATGGGCAGAACTTGTTCTTAATCTGAACAAATTTTTCATGGAATGTGGGGGATTTTTTTTATGAATATTTCAGCTAGATTTTCATAAAAAAAATCTTTATTTTTTAATCATGAATTCATATAAGCTGAGTCAAGGCATCCATAAAGTTTCGACATTTTTAAAAGTGCCTTTGAGACGCTTAAATCAGTGCTGTCTGAGTCACAGCAAACATGGAGCTTCTGCTCTTGGCTTAAATCAAGTTATTTACCGTTTTCACTGACGCAGCTCAAAGACATGTTGATTTCCACCGTTTGACCCCCACACCTGCTAAGTGGCTCTAATTCATGTAGATTCAGCCGCTGGAGCTCGGCTCCCAACTCTGTTATTAGTGAGTCACTCCGCTGTGAAAACGCTGAGGAAGATAGATGAGGGTCCATTTATCGTGAAAGCTGTCGGACAAAAGCGCCAGCAGACGACTTAAGCGTCAGTGGATCTGCGCAGCTCCACGGCTGTACCAAAGCAAGACGTTATATAACAGCAGAGACTGAATAAGTCTGAACAGTTGGTTCCTGTTTCCTACAGATTTGCTTCTTTTTTTTTGTTTGAGTGGGCAGAAATAACTAATGTCTTCAGTCTTTTATTCTGTCACTTTACCTTAGGTAGAGAGCAAAGAAGTAAAATAATAAAACATTTTTTTGTGAGGAAGAGGTCAGGGTTTGGATCAGGTTACAGTTCAGGTAAATCGGGGACAAATTAATGGAAGTCAGCGTCCCCTGAGATGTAAGACGGTGTGTTGGTGAAGCACTGTAGCTCTGTTCTGTTACATAACTTGATTCAGGGGAAGCAGCTGCAGCTCACTCTCTTACAAAGCTATCCTTCTTAATTCATTACCATCACTGCTTCATACTCACAACCCCCCCATCAAGTCAGCTGAGTGGAGAGTTTTTAAATGTCTGCTGCTGACAGACACAGAGGGAGGGAAACATTTTCCTGAAGACATTTAAAATCTGCTGTTCATGTAAAGTTTTACTTATTTATTCCAGCGATTTTTACAGGTTTAAACATTCATTGAGGATGTGAGCAACAGTGTGATTGGACATCTATGGAGATCTAATAGGGTTTTATTTCCCCAGCATGCGATCTGCTGATGATTGAACAGGACAAAATTGGGGGGAAAAAAGTGAGATTCCAAAATTTGTTACAATCTTTTATATGTAGTGAATTTTTGTTTAATTTGAATGAAAAATCTGAAAAACAACCAACTAAAAAACAGAACCATCCACCAACCAATATAGGGTCTGTACTTAACATACATAAAATACATCAGTAACCATCGGGGTCACGACTTTTAATAATTAGGAAAGATTTGTTATTTGAGTTTGACAAGAAAGAAACAAAAAAGATCTAATTGTAATGAGGCAAAAATAAATGTTATAGATATTCTGGTCTGTTCTTGTTAAAGCAGGGCAGGGGGAGGCTACAGCTGACAGAGGCTAGTTAGGCTAACTGTGGAGATCGGATAAGTCCGCTGGTTGGTGTCTCTGCTGGAGGTAGGACCACGAAACAGTTTTTCCAGGGCTAAAAAAAATTGCTCTTAAAGTTTCCTTTTAAAAGCAACTTACAAACCTCTTAAGAGCATCCCACACCTCATCCTTAGCTAACAATACAATATAAACGTACAGTAATTGAAACAGCAGTTGAAGTATTCATTGATTTGATGCTGTGATCGGCAGATACTGATTTTTGTGATTGTTGTTCCTGACTGGTGTATCCCTATTAGATTCTTCTCAAATTTCCATTTACAACACAAAAGCACTCAATCCCTTTTTGGCTGTAGTTGTTTTTCTAAACACTGGTTTATACTGATGATTTCTGTTTATTTGAGCAAAAATCATAACTACACTGGAAAGAATCGAAATCTACATTTTTTTCCCTAACATAAGTGCATTTTTTCTTGAATTGAGGAGATAAGTGAGACACTTTGCAAATGGAGCAAGACAATCTACATTAAAAAATAAGAATACAACTATTTCATTGTCTTTTGTCAAGTGTTTATTGTCTAATCACCTTATTTTAAGAGAAAAAAAATCCTCATTCCATTAGCAAATCATCTTATTTACCTACTCAAATTGAGGGTAAATAGTTAATTTAAGACATTTTGATCAATTTCTAGATCGTTTTTGCAGTGTATGAATATGCACTAAAAAGAGACTGAAGGAAGAGAAACTTTAGCAAAGCATCTGTGATTTAAAAACAGCTTCCATTAAAGAGAACTATGCTAAAGATTAGCCGACAAACCACCAAGCACACCTCTCAGGGATATGAATATTTTTGGACGGTCATCTAGATAATAGAGGCCAATCCCTCATAAACTTCCAACTGGTAAAAGATGTTAATAAAATGTCTATAAAGTGTTCCTTATGCAAACCCAAGCAGAGATTTTAGTGATGGATGATAGTTCGGTTAAACCCCTCCTACCATTATCCTTGGTCCCTCCGTCCTCCATGGTCATCTGCTCAGCCAGTTCTGAGAGAGATTCGTCGATGGTCAGACTGGGCCGGAGGGTCAACGACAGACGCTTCTTTATCCTCTTCATCTTCTCCATAGCAAAGCAGTTCACAGTCTGCGGGACACACAGAAAAACACCGTCAGCTTTCCTGGTTCTCTTAAACCAGAGAAGAAGTTCAACATTTGCAGACATCTACCATCGGAGTCCAAAATATCTCTGCTCATGAATAACATAGCGCTGCTTTTAATACAGTATTCATTCACTTTGCAGATGCCTGAACAGAGCATGAATTAAGCATGAGCACAGCATGAATAAATGATGTGTATCGCAGTCGGCAACATAGCCGTTTTTCACCTACACACACGTCCTCATGGGAAGGGAGGGAGAAATTAACCAGATCTGATCGGGGAGGGAGGGAGTAACAACAAATCAGTGTGTGTGTGTAGCAGCAGCCGTCCGGGTCACAGGAAGCACCTTGTTCAACTGCTTGAAGCCAGTCCCTGCTCATTGTGTCGACCCAAGTTTTAGCAAGTGTGTGTTGTTGAAAGGGTATGCCTTGCATGTTTGTTGAAGGAAAGAGAAAGCAAGCATAGAAAAAGGGGGAAAAACACCCCTTCCCACCTGCCTGATCCCCGATAGAAAACTGGCCGCCCCCTCTATGTGGCTCTGTCTGTCTCCGTTAGGTTCTCTCAGTTATTGGCTCTTTTAGTGCAAAAACAGACACAATCTGTGTGTCAAAACACATACACACACATCCCTGCAACAATTTGTCATTCATGGCAGAACATAGAAAAAAACCTCTCCATGAATCAGTGTCACAAGCTCGCATCAACACAGCAGCTGTGTGTTAGCTGGATTCTGTGTTGAGGGAAAGACAAAAAAATATTTTTATATCTAACCTCCTGATATTTAAGGTATATACTGGGATATTTGAAGCCACCATCAGCTCAAAAGCTTAAGTAAAAAAAAAAAACCCTTCACTTTATTTAGAATACATGGCTTTGTTTGGGGATAGGGGACTTTGTGACAAACATCAGTTTTTGTTTATTTTTTGCTTCCCCAAATTGAATAAACATCATAAAGTTTAAATTTGGGGTTTCCTCAATTGAAGCAACTTAGTTCATTTTAATGTTTTAGGACAGCCAATGAGTGTGCAAATGCCTCCAGATGATGTAATCTAAAAGACGCAGAAAAGGATGTTGAAACCATGAGTTGCTCTGAAATAAGCCTTGGAGTTTCCTTAAAAGATTAATAGTGTAGAATTTGTTTTCACAACAATTCATTTTGCAACTAGATGATCAAAATAGCCAATAACTAACTAGCCTATTGAAGGAAGTTTTTTTCCTTTCAATATTTAGTCTAGATCTTTTTCCTTGTCAAAAGCAAGTTTGCAGAAACCTTCCCGAGAGGAAATGTATCCCGCTGTCCCTGCTGGTTCCATCGGCGCCTGCATCCCATGATGCCACATGCTAAAAGACACAAAAATCATTCCAATGCAGGAAAAGAGCAGCTGTTCAACAAGGCTGAAAGTGCAGCTTGTGGAATGACTGCCTCCAAAAAAACTCGTACAATCAAATTCTTTCCCCCCTCGAGCAAACAGACAATGAGATAAGCGCTCTTTGTCCCCCAAACCCAGAAGTGTAACAGAGCCGGGTTTTATCTCTGCATCAAACCAAAACAAAAGAACTCATGTGATGTGTGTGTGTGTGTCCAAACTGGAGAGAAGATTTCAGCATTAAAAAGGACCAGAATCAATTTGCCACCCCCCCATCCACACAGACACGTTTTTTTCTCCTCTTTTCATTAAGAGCAACATCTCAAGATATTAAGATACGTTCTGACCCACATTCCCAGCATCCCCCGCTCCTCTGGATGCCTCCTAATGCACCCTGGGTAGTCTGGAGGAAAGGACTTCAAAAGGATGAGAAGGTGGGAGCGGGGGTTGCCGGGGACGAGACCTAATTACTGGGTTAATTATGACCCACTCTGCACACCATGCCTTTATCTCAGCCCCCCCTTTAGTTTCGTAACTCTTTAAACCAGAGTGAGGTAATGAGATGGAAAATGTGGCTTCACGTTCGATCCTGTAGATGTGGCTGAAAGTGACTGTGTGTGGGAGGAGGAAGAGTGAGAAGAGATGGGCCAGGAAGAACATAGAGAGAAAAGGAGGTGAGGAAATGAGTTTATTTCAGCAAGTGGAGCCATAATGGAGTCTTTGTGTTTGTATAAGAGCCATGAAATCACCAGTGAGGGCCAGCATGTACAGCATCCACTCAGTCTAATGGCTTCACTCACTAACATTTAGATTTATGGTCAAGTTTAGAAATTTGGTAATAAAAGAAAAAAAAAAAAAAAAATAAAACATGTTTTAAAGACAACTTCTAAATCTCTACCTGATCTAATATGGAGTGAATTTTGTGTCGTTGTTTCAAAGGGCATGTTCAATCCAGCAATACAGAAATGAAACATTCCAATTTCGACATATTTTTTTTATATATATATATATATATATATATATATATATATATATATATATATATATATATATATATATATATATATATCCGTCACTGTCGGACGGAAACCTCGTATGTCCAAAACCATAAGGTTTGCAGGAAATTATAAAAACTTGTGGAGATCCTCAAGCCGCGGCTCCTCTAAAACCAACAAAACTGTTTCTCTTTCTCTTTATTGGTGACCAGCTTGATGAACAGACACACTATTCCAGCTGGACACCACATTCTACGTGGTGCATACTGAATGTTGGTCCATTTTTGCTGGAGAAAACGACGGTGCCACTCTTCGCAGAGCCTTTGAGCTGAAAACTTTTTGGTACTGCCCATTGTTACAATACAGTATTTCAATCTTCTCCTGTCGATCGACTAAAATAGCGCCTGGTTGCAGTCGCGGCCAGATGCCCTCTATCCGGTGGGTCCTTATGCTGGACTGGTTCTGACTCACATGAACCTGCCAAGTTGTGTGGCTGCCTCTCTCTGCTGCAGAACCCTTCTGAGCGTCAACAGCGGAGCTGCTTTTTAAGACCTTTACAGAGGTGGACAAGGTCGGGGTGATGTCGACATCATGAGGAAGTTTCAACCAAAAGCTGGCGAATTAGGACCACATCTGAGGTTGCCACGGTGAACCATAAATCATAAATAGCACAGTGGGTCATGTCACTACCAGACCCGTATCATTTGCACATGTGCAAGCAGATATTCAACCAGGTCACCATAAAAAAATATGGTACTAAAAGCCTTTATTTCTATCCTTAAATCGCCAAAGAATGCTAAACTACATCTTTAAAAAATATCGAAAGACTTTTCTGAGACAATTGGATGCTTTTCGCATTCTCTCCATTAAACTGCTTGTCTGACATCTTCATCGTCGTGCTCTGAGCATATATATATATATATATATATATATATATATATATATATATATATATATATTCCCCCCTACAATTTTTTCCACTAATGGAAATGTATTTAAATACACATTTAGATTAATTCAACACACTGTAGTAAACAGGTAAATGGAGGCATTAGATGTCTTTCAGTCATCAATGCACACATTCAAAGACACAAAGGAGCTCTTTCAAGATGGACACCGTTTAATTCACAACACCTGTCTCATCAACCAGGAATCAGAATCAGAAATACTTTAATAATAACAGGGCAAAATTACTTTCGTTACATGAGTCCATCAGTAATAGTGACTATAGGACTAGTTTGATATAACACAATTTCATACTATATATATATATATGGGGGGGTCCCCGCTCCATCTCGCCATCTGTTTGGGGGTTCTTGGCCTGGAAAACATTGAAGACCCCTGCCCTAAAGGAATCAGTTTGTGGCGCCATTACAGTATTTTGTTTTATCAGTTTCCAATCATTTTCTGGAGAAGAAAGACATTTTAATGGCTGCATTTATATCTGATATATTCTTTGTTTCCAGTTCTTTATCTGCTGTGATCAAAGAGACAAGCAGGCATATCGGCTGAGTTGATTCCTTCCCGCTATCATCTCAACCCCTACCCCCATGGAGTGGACCAAAACATCTCATCTGGGCAGCCAGATCAACAATTACCCCTAACAACCCCCCCTTTCAGAGGCATAGACCAGTATCAGGTATTGCAGGTTATCAAAGAACCAAAAGGACTCCTCATTCCAAAGTGGCGGACCCATTCTTCTGGCTGAATTTGCATATTTTCTAAGCCAAAACAAGTTTTTTGGCTACTTTATAAAACTTTGAACTTAATGCTAATTCTGAAATTCTGAATTGAAAAAGCTTCCTCGACAGGAAGCAAAACATCTTCAAACTTTGAAACAAAGTCCAGTGGATTGTTCTTTTAACTTTTTTTTTTAGAATGACCTGGATGACTGAGAATCTTCACCTGTAATTCTATCATTACATCTGAAAAAAAGACCTTAATTGGATTCCTAATAAAGGTCTGTAATCAAACCCAACTAAGCATCGGCTGCATGTTAGTTTATTTATCTATAGATCTAATTATGGCAGCACTTAAATAGAACAAACACAGTTTTAAACATTAAAAGATTAATTGCCTAAATGCATTTCTTCAATCAAACTTGTTTTTGCGCCAAGTAGAAATTCTTAAAAAGAATGCCACAAGCGTCTAAAATGACAGAAGATGCAGTTTTTCTCTCAGATCAGTCGGATGCGTCGCCTTTAAGCCGCTACAGATGTTTACTGACAGAATCGGAGCAGGAACAATGAACAGAGCCCAGTCGACCCGCTCCCTACAAAGAACCTCAACGCCTAATGTTGTTAAAGCCGCTGCTTAAAATAGCCGCTCATATGAGGATCACAACCAATTTAAAACAGATGAAATCATCTTCATCTTTTAGGAAGCAGGCATGAGGAGGACGGGACAAAACGTGGCCTGAGAAGGAAAAAATGATCTCACATGTTAGAGAGATCCATTAATCAATGCAACAGTTTAACATTCAATATGGATTTTATGGGTTTATTCAGCACTTTAAAGGCTTCATCTCTACATGAATGTTCTGATTTTTCCTCCTTTGTTGCAGAAACTAAGTTTTAAAATTAGTTCAAGTAAAAATGCACATAAACAATGAGTTTCTGACTCGG